TAGGAGTAGGAGTAGGAGGAGAAGGAAAAAGAGTAGTAGGAGTAGTAGGAAAAGGACGAACAGTAGTAGGACTAGTAGGCTTTTGTAGGAGTAGCATGAGTTTCAAAAAAACTTTTCATGAAATTTTTGGGCGGGAGCCAACCTGCAACTACCTTCGACTCTTCAGCAAAGCTCATTTGCAGATGCGGTTTGTTTTTCGTACCTGTGTTTGCTATGAGGACATGTGCAGTAGGCCCAGTAAGTAGGCTTTCAGGTATGAGGTACATTCTTGTTACTTGTCATGAGTCTGCTGCAGAAGAATTTCTAGAACCGGTCTCAGCACATCGAGCTTGTCCGTGCTCTTTGAGGTTGTATCACGGCGACACAGAACTTGAATTTTTTCATCGAACGCTGTACCGGATACAATTCGATGGAAGTTCCCTCAGGGGTCAATCTGAAGAGTGCAGGAACCTGGATATAGAGACCATCCGCTTTAAGGGGCACCGTGACCGTGCTCGGTACAAACAGATTCATCCAACTTCGCTGCATGCGCAACGTTTCAGACGGCATGTGCTTCTGTGAATTTGGGAGTCAAGGAAATGTGAGCGTGGGGACAGCTTAGCATGTGTTCCAAGCAACAGCAAAGCACAAACGAAACCGTGTTTAGAGATGTTCTGGACACCACACTCCGTAGACCCTGTGATGAAGCAGCACCAGTTCTCAGCTGTCGCAAGGAACGGCAACATGCCACACATCACCACAGACTTCAGGTGCATGAGTATGTTGTAGTGTTGGACATGGGGCTCAGACCGTGAAGTTTTCCTCTTTTCAACACTGGCGTCGGAAAGCTCAGTGTTTTAGCCAAACTTAGGAAAGTTAAGTTCAGCCTGTTGCGTCGGCGCTTAGACGGATTTCCGTGCGAACTTATCTTCATCCAGCTCGGCAGAAGAAGGCGTCCGACCATGGTTTTTTGCTAGATATTTTTTTGTTTTGTTCAGTCGGTGCAACATATGAACCCCGTACACACGCCGACTTTTCCTTTGGGCTGTCCAGGCATCGAGTGCCATGTACACAGTTTAACCAGCCCTTTAATCACTTAGTGGCCAGTTTAACGCACAGGATCACACCATGAAATCGATGGAGAGGTCATCAAACGGTTCGTCCTGCAGGAGGGTACAAACATACAAACACTGAGAATCGTCCAGCTTCTTCTTACAACAAAAACGCAGTGAAGCGTTTCCACCCATGTGGGCAGATCTTCCTGGCAGGCCTCACCAGACATTACAAGCCATGTTATTGTGACAGATGCGATTGAATGTGCATTCAGGAGAAAGTGAAGTTGATGCCAGGCAGGATTCAACAGCATGTATGCCTGCAGGCTCCTTGGACATGGACAGTTCTGCCAGGCATGGAGCGGACTATGGACAGATCATCCAGTTAAAGCCTCGGTGCATGCGTGACGTTGTTTACGCACGAGCTTACGGCTTACGGTCAGTATGGTCAGCAAGCACGCAATGCAGTTGAGGTGCCGGTGAGCTGTCGGTTCGCAGCCTGAATGGTCGCGGCGTGCCATTGCAGTGTCTTGATTGCACCGTCGCTGCATGCACGCTCAGCAGGCATGTGTCGTGATGGCTTGGCCACAGACGATGTTGAAAGGTTGAAAAAGTCTCGGTCCGGTGTGCTGCTGCCCCCATTGTCGGCAACATCACCAGGCTTGGGCAAGTCGAGAGTGGTCTCCCAGCTGCTCGTTTTGCCATTCAGGCCTGCCGTCAATGACACGGCAGCTCAGGAAGACGAGCATACACTCAAAATGTTGAGATGTGCCCGTCATCATGCGCAATTTGCACGGTGTCAGGACCCAGCCATTCTGCAGCAGCGTATGGTCGGTCGAAAAGTGTGAGCCCATGTTGCAACACGGAGCGCTAGACAGGACCTGCAGATCAAGCCTTGAAGGTCTCGCAGTCTCAGCCATTCTCGCGCGGCATCCTTCGGACGGCTCGAGGCGTGGCCTGGTGAGCAGGCTGGGAGCGCGAGGAGTGCGAGCAGCCACGAGAGTGCACTTTCGTCCGTGCAGTTTCTGCCAAGGCGGAAGTTCGGAATGCTGCCAGGGAAGCAGCCCAGGCCGTGGCTGCTCCAACCAGTCGTTACTCGATCTTCCCGACAGCTCTGCTCGGGGCTGGCAACCTTGCGACCCTGTGCATCAGGCACGCCAGAAGCCAGACACAACTGAAGAGGAGGCGCCTGCCATCCGTGGTACCCGGACACGGAACACAATCCAGTTTTACGAAGCGGCGTCGGTGTGGCAAAACCGACGGCCGAAACTTGTGTTTGAGCACGTGCATTGAAGCAGAGGCCATCGCAAAGAAGTTGGTCGACCTGGATATGCCGCACTTAGATCGGATTACCAGCCTTCTGCCAAGATGTTGCGCAGTAGTGCAGTCGAATTCAGTCGTTGAGTTTTCCAGATTTGGCTGAGGCATGTACATTGGACAGAGCTTCGCTGACATAGACGGTGATGGCGAGAAATCTCCAGAGGATGCTTACCAAAGCCTGCCGCTTTGACCGTCCAAGTTGCAGTTATCCATGAGGAGATTCTCCCCACGCAAGAACTGGGCGGTCTCTTGAAACAAAACAACGGCGGCATTGAGGCCCGTTTCGTTTTGAGTGAAGGGGCCCGAAGATCTGCGGATGGTCATCTGACTGTTCAATGCCTTGTTTCTTCTTGTGGAGGGGTCGAGCTGGCCTTGCTTTGCAAATGACAGCTCTACGGTACATCTTATATAACCATTCTCGGATAAACAACTATACATTGCCGAGTTCAGTATTTCAACATGTCTCCTGAAGCAGGAAGAGACATAGAAAGACGGCGATGATTCTTGCAGTTTCTTCTCTCACAGCTTTCGAGGTGAACGAAGACGAGCTGGAAAGCCAGGAGTTGCAGCAGATACAAACTGGCGAGGAGACCGTTGTACCACTGCATGAAGTCTCCGCGGCAAAAGCTTTGTTGCCATCCAAGAAGATTGATGCAGGATGCCATTGCATACTTCGCCAAGAGTGGAAGCGTTTCCAAAACAAAGTCGTGAACTTAGCCGAATTTTTTCGGCGAGCACTTGACCTCTGACTTCTCGAAGGCTCCTGTATGCCAATCGTGCTGAGAGCCAGCCTCAGCTTTCTCCCAGGGGCAGTGGCAAGCAGAGGCAGGAAGTGAATGAGCCAGTCCAGCTTTCACGGCCTAGGAGCGAGCACTTTGCTCCCTACGACTTGGTGGTTGTGCCAGAGGATCAGGCAGATGCAGGGCTCCTTTTAAACTTCCTTTGTTGAAGACTCGAGGGATGTTCATATTGTACAGAGGCAGATGATCGACCATTTGTGTATGGCATGTCTAAAGACGTCCTGCGAAGTTGACGCAGTCATTGAATGAAATTTCAGGCAGTTTTGTGCGCCGGGCAAGTTTACAGTCGTCGATCAGATTCACAATCCTAGGGAGTTAGATGCAGTCAGTCCTGGTTGGACATGAATGATGAATGATGCTCAATTGAAAAGTGGGAGACATCTGAAAGTGTCCACATGAGGCGCACGGTGATGTTAGCCTTCGTTCGGTGTGTTTCTGCAATCCTGAGAGTGACTGGACGTGGTTTGGGCGAGAAAAATGAACCAATGGCTTCATTCGCACAAATGCCGCGTCGTGCTGCTTGCCGCCTCTGGGCACCAGGTAAACCCCGAGTACTTTACCATATCCGCCACCGGCGGCCACCTCAGTATGTCACGATATGTCAGCTCGCTGCCCGAAAACTTAGCCGCTTAGCCCCTGACTCCTCCTCCTGCGAGGCATTGTGCATGTTGCACCCGGGCAGCTTTCCGAGTGCATCTCTCTGACCGACTGGCCCCTTGGACCGAAGTCGGGTCGCATCCTTCTTCTGCTCGCTCTGTACCTGGCCCAGGATGCATCAGAGCCTCATGTTCCGGGTGCTGCAGACGATCAACTTTTTCAAGTTTTACATGCACAAGAAGGCACATTCTAAATCTTGCTTGATTTCCTTTCCTCTCGGTTTGCGTCGTCACAGCTTTGGACTGTGCATCAGTTGACCGGCTGCTGTCGGCTTGGAAGTCTTTTGTTGCATGCTTGCATGGTCGATTTTGTGATGACGTGCCGAAGACGCTGCTTCCGACTTCTGTGTGCGGTTGCATCGCCAGGTGATCACGCAATGGTCTACGAACGCACGATACGAGGCCTGTCAGCCAGTTCATCTTGATGTTTCTTGCTGCTCGTTTCCGATCTTTTTGGGCCCAGGTCTATTGCCATCACAGGCAGCGCCTTAGCAGGCTCTCACCGGAAGAGTCGTGCAGAATGTGGCTTGAACTCTTGAACTTGCTGGGCTCCGCATGCGCTGATACAACCCTGAAGCTGAGGAAGCTCACTCATGGGGTTGGGCAGTTGAGATTGTCAGCAAACTGAACTGACTACGAGAAGCAGTTGCAACATGAAGAGAGGCGTGAAAGCGAAAGAAGCATCGCGTCCCAAGCGAAGCACAGATAGGCGTAGAAGCAAGCTTCAACATTCCTGTGGCGAGCCATTGCAACAACGCTTCTCTTGCAGGGGAGCATGAGCTGCTTCAGAAGTTGGTTTAGATGTTTAGAGACCCATTGCCTGCGTGCCTCCCTGCGAACATTCATGGCACAGAACACAGAAGAAAAATGCTTTACCTCGATAACAAACCCTTTTGCTGTTCTATCATTCGTGGAAACAGATCCTCCCGCTGGACAGGTGTTGTTTCTTTGCCAAGCCCATGTTCGTGGACTCCTTGGTGCAGGCGGCAAGCACACTCGGGGCCTTGTGGTGTGCTAGAGCATGCCGTGCATCGGTCGGAAGGTGAACAGCCTCGTGCGGGAAGTGGAAGAAGTGAAGGCTCCTCGTCTTGGGTTCTCCGTGGGCAATAACAGGTTCCTTGAGCACCCCAGCATGCCACCAGGTTGTGCACGTTGACCAGAACTACTACACCATTCAGGCACTCGCTGTTGTCATGCTGGCCAAATACCAGTGATTTAACCAACACGGCCCCCTTAGATTCTCGTCTGCATGCTGTTGCTCAGGAGTTCATGGACAAGCAGCAGCAGATCCGTGCCAGTCCAGCACCGCACCTGTTTGTTCCAGTCCATTAATAACTTTGTTTTGCGACAATGTTTCCAAATTTGCTATCCGATTGCTGTAAGTCAGTTTCATTGATCAAGGTCAATAGTGCGCAGAAGGACTTCGAGCAAAAGCACGAATCCGCCGCCACTTGGTTTTTCTCCAGCCTTTTGGTACTAGCAAAGCATGAACGATTTGTGCTCGTATGTATCCATTACGGTGAGATGACGTGGGCATGTAGGTCTTGATTGAAGCGGTGACACCCGTGGTTCCAAGATTGGCATCATCGATCGACTGATCACCACGGTGCAGTGCTCCTTGCAGATTGAGCCCAGTGTTGTGCGGACCTAATTCCTCTCCAGTCCTCGTATCGATTTTTGCAGCAAGAGACGGACTGAGTGATTCCAGCCTACGAGGACCAGCTATCTGGCAACAAGCCTGACACCAATCCTTGAGCCCGCAGGTCTGCAGAGCCCCGTAGCCCATTTTTTGTGCCTCAGGTCGAAGTCCATGGTACAAGAGAAGGAAGAGGCCACTGCCACTGTGGCGAATCTGACGAGTGCATGCTTCTTGGAACCCGATCCGAAGGCTCGTGAGAAAGCACGCCTTCAGCGCATTGCCAAACGGGACGAAGACATGCTAGGCTGGATTCCAAGTCTTCCTTCGGTTGCCTCACCATTGTTGCTGGTGCCATTAGTTGCAGGTGACTGCATCCGGTTGATTGACTACATGTTCCAGGCTCGTGAGAGGCTGTCGGGTGGTGCCGCAGCGACCGGGCTCGCAGAAGATCGGGAGGCTGCACTTGTGCAAACCGTGATCGAAGCCGTGAAGATGTTCTGGAATCGCTTGGACCAGAAGGCAGAGAGCTTTGTTACCAGCTCCTCTGCAAGCGGCAAGAGCGGGGTAGCGCCCGAGGGCTTCGAAACAGTATGTTAGAAATCGAAGAGATCGCAGTCGGGAGAGCAGGGCTTTCGACCGCAACAACACGTTTCCTTCTGGCAGAACGTGCCGAAGCTTTTCGTGACGTCCGTGGACATGTCGGATCAGGCCCGGAGGTGCTTGAAATGTGTCACGGGCGGCAGAACCTTCGATGTGGCAGGGCATCACGCTGGATCCCGGGAAGCACGATTTCGTAGAGATGCTCTTCATGTGTGTGACTTATACGGCCTAGGGCATGTCTTGCTGCACGTACGATTGTCGTGAGCTACAATTGTAGAGACCGCAAGCACTGCAGGGTTTCTGATGGATGGTTCCAGACGTTGAACCTCTTACAGTCGATGACTTGCGTGCGACAGTCCTTGCCTTACCAGCTTTTGCATATGCAGTGGACCGGGGTCCAGATTGAAGTTGAAGCAGACGTTGACAGGTATGATCAGTTTTGCCGCGTGCAGAACCATCAGACAGTGAAGGAGCTGTTGTTTTTGTTTTGTTGATGCGCTTTTTGATGCATTTGGTGACTCAGAGGTGCGGTGAGGTGCCGTGTGCTCACCTGTCATGCGCGAAATCCCTGATACCTTTGGGACCGACTCGTGACTAGTGATCGCAGTTTCGGGCGATGGAAGGGTGAAAGGGGCACAGGACGGCGACAGATCCAGGGGTCCCCCCTTTCATCTGCACCTGATGGCTATAGCTTCGCTGCCTCAAAGTAAGCAAAGCAACTTCACTTCTCCTGGCCGGCAACTCAAAACCTCATAGCTCAGTCCGAGGGATCTATTGACCAAGGGGATTTTCTCACGTCTGCACTCTCCTTATGGCATGTGCTCGTTTTTGGCGGTGTTTTTTCGGTGGATGTCTGTCACGCACAGTTCGATTTGGGTGTGCTGCGTCTTGCCAGGACATTCTGATGAAAGATCGAACCTATTTGGGACAGCTGCAGACACTGTCAGTCGATTTCACGTTGAATTTAAGCATGTGCTTGCAATGCCACTGACCTTCGCGAGGATACCAGGCGAGCATTCAAGACTACATCACAAGTGCCATTGACGACACGCAGGTGACTGTTCCTTGCGGTGGTTGTGCGGCAAGGACCCTCATTCATGAGACTTCCAAGAGCCAGGCATCTGCCAACCTCATGTACGAGCCTTTCCGGCCCATCTACGAGTGCTGCAAGCTTGTTTGCAGCTACCTGTGACATCTGACTGCATCGATGAGTGTGCAATCTTGCCATGATGCTCCGCCAGGTTTGGCAAGACTTGGGATGAAGAAGCTTTCAACGACAAGGAACTGCGGCGCAAGAGCAAGTCCGACAGGTTTCACATGTTGAGGAATCCGGAAAGTATTCAGGAGCATGACTATGACGCGTTATATGATCAGATGTCCAAGATGAGGGAGTCTGCCTCTCAGCATGGCTTCTGATGTAGTTGCTGAGGCATGGCGTGGAACATTGCGACGCCCAGGTTTCAACATGATCTCGACCGGTTCAAGCTTAGCCCGGCCTTTCTTGCCTGCTTCTCCACTGTGCCACGTCACCCGATGTTTCCTAGCCCATGCACTTCGCCAGATTTGTGGCATCATTCTTGTCAACGGCAAGAGCCTGAAAGACAGATTGACGCCCATCCCAGAGGCCAGCTTAGTGCCAGGCAGCAGAGCAGATGTGCCTCTGACTTCTGGGAGGCTACATTGAACTGCGTGAAAAACTGCCTCATTGGCCTAGCTCGGGACAAGTGCAAGGCCGGAGTTCGACTGCTGACTTCAAGGGGCGAGTTAGCTTGCAGACCGGGTGGTCCATGCAGGAATGCTACAGTCGCTACGACTCAGTCTGCCCCCAAGCTGCTTTCACTGCGGGACGGCATCATGAACACGCGCGGTTGAGCATATCCTGGCGGGCTGATTGCGCTTCTGCAGCTGCATCGGCGAAGGTCAACAAGCTCCTGGAAGAAAGGTCGAAGGATCTGGGCAAGTTCGCAAATTATGTGGTCCACTTAGGAATACCATGCCAATTCGCCAAGCTGCGTCTAAGCACAGTCTGTCTAGTGATCATGTCGCACCAGGTGAAGATGTACCACAACGTCCAAGATGCCAGATACTCGGGAGCAGAAGAAGAGTAGTGCGTGGGAGGAGCCATCAGCCAAGGAGAGGCCGGAGATGGAAGACCTCATGTTCGAGGTTGAGCAGATGTATTCCCTGATAAGGCAGATCTTGTCCTGCATGCTCTCCTTTGGGATGATGTCTCATCTGCCAGGGAGTACAAGGTAAGGATGCCTGGCGACGACGAAGTTGTCTATGAGGGTCTGAAGGCGAAGGACTGGATCTGCCAGCCAAGGAGGTGAGTCTGACCGACGTATAGCCGAGTATGATGGGCAGGAGAGCGATTTCACCAACAAGAAGATGATTGAAGCCAGCCAGTTCATTGCCGAGATGAAAGAGGCCGCCCAGCTATTCCAGCTTCCTGCTTTCTGCCTGTACTCGACCAATGTGCGGCCCCTTTTGCAGGAGATGGCGCTGGAGACTTACCAGAGGGCTCTGAAAGTGGAAGAGGAAATGAAAGGCGTGTCGGAGGACAGGACGAGTTAGTCATGTGCTTTTGCTCGGCCACACAGTGCTAAACAAAATCCGAAACTCAGAAGAAAAGGCAGAGTTGTGATGGGATTGTAAGACCTCCTTAGCAAGTTCCGGAAACTGCATTAACCGGCCTTCCTAATGTATGGCAGAACCCTGATTGTAGAGTACGAGTATGACCTGCTGCGTGTCTTTCACAGTCCTGAGTGGATCAGATCAGGAGGAAATAGAAACTGAATTTTGCATCCGATTGCCCGCTTGGCTTCTCTCGAAGACTGGATCCAAGATTCGTGAATGACGAAGGGTCTCACGAAGCCCGCTGCACAGTTCTGCGTATTGTTCAATTTCTTCTTGTACTACAACCTGTGGTAATGTTAATGTGCAAGCGTTGTTGATCATTCGGAAGGAACTCTTCACTGGGAGCTTTATTGACGCAGAGAAGATCGTCGTCGCTCACGAGGCACTGTCGATGCTCGTGGCGAGTTGTTCAATTTCTACGCTGTCCTGGCAGTGTTTAGGTACTGGAAGAATTGGACAAGATCTTGGAAACCAAGGTCACAAGCTCGGTCCAGTCGTTTATGTTCAGCAGCAGTATTCAAAGACAGGGTGCAAGAGCTCTAAAGGTCAGCAGAAATCTCGCACATTCTAATATCCCATGTAAAGTGCGATCTGCTGAAGCCATTGCTTGAGAAATGAGATCTTTGTGTCTTCGCAAAGACCGCAATCGTCCACAGCATGGTTCAAGCGGATCGGGTGTGCAGGTCAAGGTGCTGGAAGAGCGAGCACATACGTTCACCGACTACGAGGCTGTGCGTGTTTAGCCGGTTTTCTGCTGTCTGCAAGTGCTGCATGCCAGGGTACAAGTTTCTTTGCGTGCTGGCAGGGCTTGCTTGGTGCAGCCCCCCAAGTCCAAGCCGAGGCAGAAGCCAGTATCCGTTATGTGTCAGTGGATACACAGCCGTATACCCACCGATCCGATAGACACAGCCACAGCCGGGGTGTGTGTGTGTGTGTGCGCGTGCGTTTGCGTGTTTGTGTTTATGCTTGATACATTTTGCAAAGCAGAAGGAGGAAAGCAATGGACACTTCCAGTTCGTCGAGGTTGCAAAGACACGGCTTGAAGCCTACGTTCTGACATGTTGCTGAGGGTGAGGGTACATGTAGTCGGTTTTTGCTGCTCGCTTCATTTTCCCGCTGACTTTGAGGAAAGTTTTCGATGACAAGCTCAAGCTTTGGGAGGCTCGCAGGCCTTGAAAGAGCAATCATCACTCGACGTGCTTCCCTCTGTGAAGGTTACCGCCCAGTGGCAAGAGATGTCCCACAACTGGAACGTGTCTGAGTTTGTCAAGGTGGGTGGAACGGAGTCGTTCGAGGCAGACAGTCATCCCACCTGCATAAAGGTGGATGTCGAAGCTATGAACAAGCAAGTAATGGCATCTTACAAGACGGCAAATGGCTTGACGAAGTCCTTGGAGGGCGATGAGGTGCATTCGGTGGCACTTGACAGTACGGAGTCTTCCGATTCTTTTGCAACTCTTAAGGTGGCTGTCCGAGTCAAAGGGATGATCGAGGAATGGTAGGAGCCTCAGGACAATATCTGAATTCACGGCTTTCATGCAGTCTTTCCAATTCGCCATGCTGCGGAAAGCTGCCGAGTTACACTGACAAGCGGAATGACCGGACTGTCATTCGTACATCTTAAGCTGAGTCGTAAGCTCGTGTGATCTGGGCGTAAGCCGTGCCGAGGCGTGAGCGCATGCCCTGCATCCTTGATCTTGGAAACCCGGCTCTCCGTCCTCGGTGCCCTGAGCTGCAAATATTTCCAAACAGTGGCCTGTGCCTGCGCATGTCTCGCTGCAAGAGCAACTTTGACTGAGGCATTGGGAGAAGATCTTCAAGAAGCCGAGCACCCAGGGAACGTGGGTAATTAGTTCTTTGATTTGCCAGCTGCCACAAGTCGGCTTCCATGCGTGTGCTCAGGATCAATCTGGCGTACAAAGGTCCAACATCGGCGAGCAGCATCAGCTGACTGTCCTTGTTCGGTAACGTTGTCTTCTTGCTTCGTGGCACTGCCTCGTGCCAAAGAGATGTCGACTAAGCACCGAGGTTTGACACAGCTTGAGGGCAACGGGGTCTTCGACCACCGCGAGTATGTGTCCGAAGTTTCTGCAAATGCTAGCGGCGAGTTTGCTCTGGAACAGTCTTTGGAGCAGGCTGGGGGTGTGCTCGGGTTCAGGGACCGTGCTGTGGTCGCTTAAGTGTTGCTGCCACGGACGAGGGCTTAGGGCAGATTCTGGCAGTCGGAGAGGTGTGGTGGCGGAGACAAGTAAAGCAACATGCACTTCGTCACGCGTGGCATTTGCAAGCCCTTGCGTCCCAGTCTGCCAGAGCTGCATGCTGGCGCTGAAATGAGCAACGGAGTATGATTGGTGCATTGGCTGGCTCGCAGGTGATAGCTGCCTGGGCAGATCTGGACTTGCCGATCATGAACCACAGGAACCAGAAGGTGCGTGAAGCCAAAGAGGGGATCTCCAGATCGGGAGGACGACCGAAGGTTCATCAGCTAAAGCCTGTTCCAGGACTTGTGGATTCTGGGTGACCTCCAAGATGTCATCACTCTCTGCGAGGAGGGCAAAGAGTGGGGCAAGAAAGGGGGCACGAGCGAGTGATTGTCTGTGCTCCCTTGTGACTTCTTCATGTCTCTCCCGCGTCTTCCTGTTGCATCTCCAGTTTTAGAATGACATCGGCGAGAGGATCACAGCGTGACCATCGCAACGATGATGGGGAGCCGCTTCATTCATGGCCAGGAGCTTGTTGGAGCTGCTTCCTCCAAATGGATAGGTTCCTGCATGTTGCGCAGAGTGGGCACGCAGCAGGGGAGGGGCGAGAGCTTGGAATTTGCTCGGCCTCCCCTATCTGCTTGAAGCGGGGTAAATACCTATGACCTACCAGTCTGAGGCATACGCGAGAAGGTGGAGATCTGGGAGAAGAGAATAAACCAGGTCAGAGGGTTGCCATGCGATTGACGTCTTACTAGTAGTTTGGATCTCCATTCCTGGCAGAGGCGGCGGATGTCATCGATGAGTGGTACACGGTCCAGCGAGCGTGGATGTATCTGGAAAACATCTTCTCGGCAGAGGAGTTTTGCAGAAGCCATCGTGCGCTATATCTATAGTCCTGTTCTGTCATGCTACTTCAGCCGCAGTCTCCTGTGAAATTGCAGGACATCCAGAGGCAGCTGCCACAGGAAGCAGCAAAGTTCAAGCAGGCAAAGCGGCATAAGTGCGGTAAGCTGAGGACTCATGCCGAATGTGTCACATCTGGCTCGTGCAACATGTTATAGTTGTCTGCCTGCGCCAGACGGCTCTATGCATGATTCCTAAGAAGCATGAAAGCTCGTCACAGTGCTGACGTCACCGATAGTGCCCAGAAATAAGTTGTCATGTTGAAAGATCATCATTCCGTTCGAGCAGGTTGACAAGTTCTGGAAGGACTTGTTCCGCAAGGCTTGCGACCTACGCGACTGGGACTACATAGGAGATGTTCACAGCAGCCTCAGCCACAAAAGGTGCGCCAGAAGGACAAGCTCTGCATGGATGCGTTCCACATTCCCGGGGTGATCCTTGCATGTTTCGCATGCAGGCAGCCCGAAGTCCCTGAATCGATACAGTTGCCCTCTTGCAGATTCTTGAGCGCCTCAAGTGGGCCAACGACACCTTGGACCATGCTTGGGCCTCAGAAGGACAAACTGACATTCACCCGGAAGCGAAACCATCCGGCATGTTCCCACACATGCACCTCGTGCCCAGATTGCAGTTTGTTGTTGAACATTCCCAGGTCCAAAAGCAACTGGAGGCTTATTTGGAGACAAAGCGCGCGGCCTTCCCCAGGCGCACTGCGCACCACCACTACAGCGGGTGGCGTTTAAAACGACAGACCTGAGTCAACAAGGTTCTACTTTCTTTCCAATGATGAGTTGCTCAGCATCCTTTCGCAGACGCAAACAACTCAGCGTGGCCAAGCTTTGCATCGCATATCAGCCGCCAATTGTGACCTAAGGCGGAATCCACACGCTGTCCAAGAGCACATGTGTAACTTTGGCTTTTGCTATGCTTTGTTAGTTGCGCTTGTTGAGCTCGCTGCTGCAGTGTTTTGGCATTCCCAGGCAAGTGCTTTGACTCCATCAATCGCGTGGTGTTCTCGGAGGCCAACTGCTCAATAGAAGTAGGAATCCTTTTGCTGCGGAAAGATCAACTGCGCCAGACGGCTCCTGGTGAAATTCTTGGTATGAGCGACATGATCAAGGAATATGTCGTGCCCTGAAAGTCTTTGACACGCGCTGCGACATCTTCACTCATCGGCAAGGGCAATACCGAAGTTTGTCACTAAGAGCATGGCTCCAAGCCGCTTGACATGTCGCAGGTTCACAGTTCGGTGGGCTTGATGTGCAATCGCATCTTGCAGACATTCGGCACTTGCAGCACAGATTTCGAGCATGTATATGTATGGAAACATATCAGGCAAGATGTGCAATGGCATGCCGATGAGCGTCATCGAGTAAACTTCTGTGTCTGCAAGTTGGCCGGGTTTTCATTTGACATCCTCTGACACCTTCTTGCTGTGCTTGCCTATACACACTGTCTCAAGAGCATGGCCGCCCGGAGCAGTCATTACATAATCTTTGATGGCGGCCCTCTCCTTGTTGGCTCCCTCCTATCAGAGAGGGTCTGCAAAGTGTGAACACCCCATGCAAAGGTGTATATATTTAAAGATTGTAGTATTAGTATACGCGCTACATACGACCTAGTCAGTATTGTTAGATGTTTGAAGGTTGCATCTTCCAAGACTCTGCCCGTTCTCAGGTCCCATTCGTGCAGCCAGTGGTGACCGGTCCTATCGTTGAGAAGTGGCTCAGTGACATCGAGGCCGCGCTCAGTTCCCTTGCATTGTGTGTGTGTGGGGCGTTGTTGCATATATGGCAGACAAGTTAAGTACATAGCTAAGTAGATACATAAACAAGTTGGTATACAAATACAGAACTAGATTTAAATACATAAATAAAGAGACAAAAAAGTCAACAAACAAATATGCATGTATATATACACATATATATTTACACATATGAATGCATATCTATACATGTATGTGTATATGTATGCAGACATATATATATATATGTATGTAGGAATACGTGTATATATATATATATATCTATATGAATACAGTATATATATATATATATGTACATATACATATATGTACACATACATATATAAATGTATAAATACATGTGTACATATCTGTATGTATATATTTCTGCAGAAGTATAAACATAAACAGTGAACAGGTTGCTATACATCTATATATATATATATATATGGTACCCCCCCCCCCCGGTACCTAGGTCTGCTCTTCTCCCTCAGGAGCATGAAAACCAAAACCTGGGTAGCGGAGGGACGGGGTCGACATTTCCAAACTATGGCTCTGGCTCAAG